CAATAGTGCCATATGACAAAGCTGTTCTGTATCATTCTATTACCTAATAGTGACAAGTTATTTAGTACTAATTATTACAGAGGCTATGGAACAAATCAGGCCCATCTTCCCCACTAAGCACAACTCCAAAACATACAGTTTAAAAGGTTAATAAAAAAAATCTGGTTGGCTGAATGGAAAATGCACACTGGTTTTTAATTAGTACAGTGTTTGCTGGACACATCTGGACCATGCCTTTGAATAGTAGTTTTCAGAAGTACATTTTTGATCTTACTAGACTTATTAAAAGCTGATAGCTGGACACACTACAACAAACAATGTAAAAATAGCACCCTGTTAAAGACTTAACTGATAATTTCATTTTGTAGCAGACCAATGAAGATACAACCAGGAAGACTGGTCCCTCAGGCTCACACACTCCCAGTTAAGAAGAAATTTTGTATCAACATCTGCTTTAGTGGCAACTGCTTAGTGCCACCCTAAGGAAATTTTTTATTCTACCATAATCATAAAAAGAGTTCTAAAGCTGTACAATTAAGGATAATTTGAATGGCTAACTTGATTTTTCTTGTATTCATAACAACACGTTAAATTGGTTTAAGAAATGCTTCATTTTTTGGTGACACTGGTCATGTTCTATGCTCAGAAAACACTACCCAAAAATCATGTGCATGTTAAAAGATGCTAAATTCACATAATTCTTGCCCACTTTATGCCACTTTTGGCTTGATTCTGCTTTTTTCCCCATGTAGTCCCTATTCTCATCATGTGCTATCTATCACGCATGCTCAAATTCACATACTAAAAAGGAAATTTTTTTCTCCCCTCCTAAAGATTTTAGTATGGTCTGTAGTGAATGACAACTTCTAGTGCTTTAACAGAGTAAACACTGAGAAATTTTCAGTGAGACACACTGTTGACAGGAGTAGAAAATATCTTCTTGAAGCTAAGTCATTACCAATTGTATCTGTCTCTCTTCAAGTTACAATCTGCTAATGTTATACCTAATTACAGTTTGATATATGAAGATAATCTAATCTATCAGAGGCTTGCAATTAATTTCAACACTAGTTAAGTGTTTTTTCACCTTCAGTCACTGCCAGATAAAAAGTCATATTGAAGTCACGTATAATGTATTTCAGAAGGCTGTTTTTCCATATAGTCCACCTCTGATCCAGGGTCCACTGCACCAAGTAACAGCAAAGTGGAGATGTGGAGGAATATTAAAACAGACTTGGCTCCAACTTTGCAATGAGGGGTTCATTAACAATACAAAGTGACAGCATGACTCTTAAAATGATGTAAGATTAAGTTTGTCTCAAGTAATCGCCTTAAAAGACAGTCAGCTTTGGTCCTAGCTGAACTGTACTAGAAAAACATGGAAAAACTTGAGTCACTTGAGACAAACATTTTGCCAGAAAAGGTAGATGAGTCCCTACTGGAGAACTCATTTTCTGCAGCCTCAGTTCAATGATGCAGTGTTTTTGATGATGTCAGTAATTTGCTGAAGCTGTGACACAAACAAGCTTACATAGGTTAAATAATTCTGAAATTAATCATAAAACACCTCATAATCAGATGCAGTTTAACAATCAGAAGAATTGCATGTAAACAAAATACTGATGAAATGCACCTATAAAATTAGAGGTTCCTTTTCACAGTAGAAATTACAACACTAGAGTTCTATCCCACTCTCCAAAAGGATTGGAATCACACTCTTTTTCTCAATGCTTCCATAGAGCACGAGGACCTTCATCAAGTAAACAGCATGAAGTATTTCCTCCTAGTTCCTGCTGCAACATAGTAGGATTGCTAAATCATGATATACGATGTAATCAAAAACATCTTAACCTTTGGAAATACAAATCTGAGTGACAACAGCAGCCACCCTGCTCTACAATCCCACCATATGATATGGTACAGAACAAAAATAACTTCTTTTGCTCCTCCCTGGAGTATAAGTACAGCAACAAGCCTATGGTACAGCTGGTCCAATATAACACACTTTACATGTAAGCAATACACTTTAAAATTAAAATATTACTTTAAAGAGATGAGGGAAGACTGAAAATCATACAGGATTTGGGCATTACACTGGGACAGTAGGAAGCTCCCTATAACCTGATCAGTAAGTACCACAGCAGAATTCATTTGAGTGTCTTCCAATATACAAGCAAAACATAAGACCTCAGTCTATATTTAATAAAAAAGGAAAAAACAAGAAACAGTTCATATTAATCCATATCAGATGTTTGTCAATCACATCATAGCACATATAACTCCTAAGAGAAACAAGATGAATAAAAGAAGAAAAACAAATCAAAGGAAGCATCGGAAACCTGGCAAGCCTGTTTCAAAGCGTTTCAAGAAAAAATAATATTAAATATAAGACCACACACACCCCTTGCTTCTCAGCAAGGAGTCTGAGAAAGCAAGATTTTAAGTGTTTTACTATGTTAAAAAGTAGTGGAGGGGTTTAAGTCACATACAGAGAACATATAAAACATCTAGCATCAAACATAGACAGGAGACATCCTCCAGACAAAGACTACCTGGCAGATGGAGGCAGAGAATAAGCAATTAACCAGGAGGGAAGCAATTCAACCCCATCGACCAGCCAGGGGGTCGCAGATCAGGGACAGCACGGAGAGAGAAGAAAGACGAAAACCACTTGAGCACAGACACCGGGCAAGGCAGAACGCCTCAGCAACGCTCCTTCCCGCATACAGGTGTCACCTTGGGGTCAGGAAGAGGGCCCAGAACAGCCCAGCGCCCTCTCCCCGTCGGCCCCCGGCGCCTGCCTGCCTGCCTCCCCCCCGCTCCCAGGCCCCGGGCCCCGCGGCCCGCACTCACCTCATCCGCGCTCAGCTCCTCCATCGCCTTCCTCTTAATGGTGAAGGGAGGGAGGGCGCTTTCCTCTGCCCCGACGAGGGGCAGCTTCGAGGAAGCGCTCTCCTA